CGAACTACCCTCCTGTGGTTCTGTTTCTATGAGACACTCGAAACAAAACAAAATCCAAAAGAGAAGTATTTCCATTTTTAAGCAAAATCGACTGGACCTGTTTTTTTCCAAAATGCACGCAAGTTGGTGAGATTAGCCAGCTACCCTTCCGGCCAACTTGGCAGCCATAAAAGAAAAAAAAGGCTTCCTTCTTCTGCTTGCTAGTGCCGTCGTGTATGCGGAATTCCCCGTGAAGCTGTATTTGTACATAAATAAGTTCACGACTGGCTTCCTTCGTATTGATCACCTTCACCTGCCTTCTGGGTTCGTCTTTGTGTAAAGAAAAGAGGTGTTTAAGTTTCGAGGCTGGGATTTGCTTTGGGGATCGTACTCGTGAACAACATTATTATAAAAGGGTGATCTAGATGGTAAAGATGTGGAATCTGATATGGTTTCACTCTAGTAATCATCAATTTCTGGTTTCAGTTGAAATTGGAGTGTCTAAGAGAATCGTCAAAATAGATTATGTTTAGCAAAGCTTACGCCCAAGCATCCAATTGGAAATTTCCTACACTTATCAAGAAAATTTTCTTGATGGTGGTATAAAGGAAAGATATACGGATTAAACCTTGAATATTTACTAACAACTCAAGTTATTTAATTTGGTTGTGCTACTTCTCGTCGTAGTATTCGAGCATTTGTCCGCCATATGCTCTCCGGTCTTGGTGATCCCCCAATATTGTTTAACATCAAAGCACGTAATCTACAAAAGTTATGATGAGTCTGTGCAATTGTCAAACCCAATAGAATATCATTTGAGAGGAGGAGGTGTTTGTATATGAAATATATAAGACTCGATCTTGAACGATTGAATCTTTGTTGACAACTCACATTGTTTGGATGTAACGAATCTCGATGTGTTAGTTGTGTTAGGAAGTGGTTAAGTATCATACACAAATGTCTCGTAATAACTCGAGTTATTGTAACCAAACTGATAATGAATTCGTATCTTTAAATCTCCCGCTGCCAAGAACTCGCCAAATATTTATGAGGGTGGGGATAACTTTGAGAACACCGGTTCCCACTGCAAATAATGTCTACTCCTGGCTTTTGTTAATAATGGATTGGATGGTGCTTCATTGCAGGTCGTGGTTAAATTGAAACCTCACATACATATGCTGGAATTATTGTCAATAAATGCAGAACTGAAAGAGAGGAAGACACGACAAAAGAAAGAAAGAAGAAGAAGAGTGTTGCAGGCAGCTCATTTTTAGTAATTGCTCTGTCCCGCAACTCTAACTTCAGTTGTCAGGGTTCATGTTCAGATATGGTTAGGACATTAGAAACAATAAGTACAGGTTTACTATTACGTCTACATATTTGTTTTTTGTTTGGTCGCAATGTTGAAGCATTCAAGGTAGACTGGATCTACTAATTTTTCTTACCCTTTTCTAGAGGATCACTTTTCTTTAACTTATTGCTTGATGGAGCAAAGATTCAATGAGTGAAAGAAACTCATGGTACGTTCCAATGTTTATGTTTTAGAAATCCTATTGTATTAGTCGGTCGGACGGTAAGTATCGAATATTGGAGTCCAAACGGCAGATAGTTTTAGCAGTATATGAAATGGCTCAATCACGATTTTAGTACAAACTATCCTCTTATTAAATTTTCGGTATAATTTTCGATACGGCTTCACAATTAATGTTAAATAAACCGAATTAACCTAGCTAAGGTAAAAGAGACATGCAGTTGAAATTTATTTATTTTTATCATCTTATCACTATTTTTTTACCACAACCATTAGCATTATTCAGAACATAAATGACGTGAATCACAGACATGGAATCTCAACGCTGGAGATTAATCGGCTAGTGGAACTTGATTGGGATGTTTCTATTTCCCACACTTTTAGGGAATGTAATTTTGCGGCTGATTTCCTTGCTTGTAAAGGACACAACCTTGATTTTGGCACACATCCTATTATTGATTGCGATCCAGGTCTCCGCTACTTAATTATGTATGATGTTATGGGGATTATCCATGAACGCATCAATGTGATTTAAGACGTCTGTATTCTACCAAAAAAAAGTTTGTGTATGACATATTGCTAATTGTATAAGTATATTTAAATCGATTAGAGTAATGTTTTGCACCATAAATGATTATATATGTATATTAATCCGAAAACACCTTTACGTTGCATGATTAAGACAAAGTATACCAATGGAGGCCAGCGGCGCAGTCATATGGAGTCATGCATGGCGAGGGAGGAGTTACGGTGCTAATTGTACAAGAGTTAGCACCGTCCTAACCAAGAGTTAGTAGTGATTTAGCTTAGATGTTGTATTGATTTTATAATAATCCGTAGTGATTTCGTTGTTTTTAGTAGCGTTTTTTGCTAGTTATCACGGTGCTAATCCCTATAAGAGTTATCACCTAATCCCATCCCTGCATGGCGACTTTAATGAGGTAAGGCTGTCACAAATCCATGCATATATGGATGGGCCCTGTAACTGTAAGATCCTTTATTTTTGCCATGTGGGCTTGCTTGCTTTCGTCGACACTAATAATTCGGAATTAATTAAATTTGGTAATGGAGAATACAATAAAAACAGTCAATGGCAACAATAGTGTATTACTATTCATCGCAAGTGGCCAAATTATTTCTCAACGGTAATCATAAATATGAGATAACAATAATCAAGGCTCCCAGTCCCAGGCTGTACGTAGTAAGTAGTGTAATTTGGGCAATTGAAAAAAAAATACAATATAAGGGAATAGAAATGGATGGGGAAGCTCATAAATTCCCCACCAGACCACTACGAGAAGTTGTTGTGAGAGGTTCAATAATTGATTTTATTTTATATTAATATGTTTTTTTTTCATACGAAAGTTATTCATATAGGCTTTAAGTTTGCACAGGCATCAGATACCATGAACTTATTAATGGAAGTTATCGGGATTCAAACAGAAGACCTCTCGAATACAGAAGGCTCTGGTATCATTTCAAAAACTAGTTAGTTTCAAAAACTCGAATTGCTAGTAGATGTTTAATAATTGATCTTATATCACGTACTCTCAACCACCACCACCTTAGCCAACGGTGGGTTCCATAGGAGTATGGCGTGGCGTGGCTTGCAGTAGCGGTTGGTTGTTGGCATCATCACCACAGTAATTAGGTTGTGAAAGTAAATATTTTTATCACTAATTGACTAGGTTGAAGTTATGGTACTTACATTTTTTTGTTGCAATAAATTTTTGGGTAATGTCTATTTTTTATCCAAATCTTTTTCAGATTCTTTTATTTTATCCAAATCTATTAAAATGCTATTAATTATCCAAATCTTTCGTATGAATCAAAATATTAACCATTTTTACGTTATTGTTAATAATTTTGTAACTCTTTTCTTAGTTAAAATACTAAAATTTTGTAATGTTGACCTTCATGTGTCTCTTCCAAATCAGTATCATGTTGCCAAGTCAATATTATAACAAAATTGCTAACTGAAACTTAACATTTTGTTAATTCTTAGTATTTTGATAGGTTTGGCTAATAAAAAAAATCCGGAAAAGATTCGATTAAAAAATAGACATTGCCCTAAATTTTTTATTCCAAGGGGTTTATGACAATTATAAAGGAGAAGGGACACACTTATTATTATTAAAAATTAGGAACACAAGTGTGGACCTATTTTTAAATTTTAAAAGTTAGGTACCAAATATAAGTCATAAAAAAAATTCCGTCAATATTTATATGACTTATATGCAAAGAAAGGTTAATTTTAGTTACTAACTCTAAAAAAATATGTTAAGTTCATATACCAAACTATAATTTTGAAATACCTAAGCGAGGATAACGAAGAAAGCTGGCTTTCCAAAGAATTGCCCAACAAAACTGTTTCTTTGCACCTTCCTCCACAATCTCGCGCGGGATCTTTATAGAGAACCATTCATAAACTCAGGCTTGTAGTAATCAAGCCAATTATCCGTAGCAATCCCAAAAAGCGGCACCATGTCACCGCCAACACCTTCGATGACGGCTGCCGTCGGATAAAAACCTCATGAAGAGACTTTTTCATAGAGCAATGGATGAGAGAGAGAGAAGACCAACTCAATGACTACATATTACCAAATTTAATTAACCAATGAAAATCTGGGTGAGGTTTTTTAGTGAAATCAGACAAGTTCAGTTGATGATTCACTGACTGATGCGTACTTGGGTTCAGTAAACAGTTGTTGCCAACATTGAGAGATACCATAATCCATATAGGCATATACACGACCTTTCGACCATAAAAAACGTTGATAGCTTAGGGTTTAAGGAATTGTTAGCCTGTAACTAGAGGTGGCAATTCTCAATCCAATCCACCAACCCATTAAAATTATCCACCTAATCCAATCCATTTAAGTCCAATCCATTTGATCCAAATCCAATTGGATTGGTGGATTCATCGATTGATCCATGGATTCAAATGGCAAATTACGTTCTGGTACCTATATTTTTTATATTTTACATTATGGTACCCAAAATTTAATTTTTTATACGAAAACTATAATTGGAAAAATACATTTTAGTACCTAAATTTTTCACATTTTACATATTGGTCATTGGTTGAGGATGTCATTTGGATTCATGGATAATCCACCAATCCACTTGATACAATCCATTGGATCCAATCTATTTGATCCATGGATCCACCAATCCATTTGCCACCTCTACCTGTAACAATGTCATCGAAGGTTTGACTGAAAGATTTAAGTCGAGTATAGGGATCCCCATTCTGATATTTGAAATTAGCACTTCAGTAAGTAATTAACTGAGCCGTGAAGTGGTGTAAGAACAAGTATTCCAACTTTGTTTGTGGACTGTATCAGTAGTTTGGCCGACGAATCCCCTCTCCGAATCTGTTGTCTGGACCAAATGTTTAATTCTACGGGTTGGGCCAAGATCAGGGGCCTGGGAATCACAGCTCCCAAGTATTAGGTGAAGCATCTCCCTAAACCTAATGGAATGGAGATGCACAACATAGAGACGCGAAATCTATTATCCACAAGTTCTGAACACTGTTGCCAAATACAAGCGTGTTATTAGGAATATAGGAGAGGGGCATAATCATCAAATTTACAAAGCCAGAAAGAAAGCAACCCAAAGTCAACTCTCAAATTACAAGCACCCAGCGAAACTCAAAGTTGCATATTGTAGTCATGAATGACAGATTATGTTCCGTGACAAATCAAAAAACCCCCAATGAACCAACTTCAGTTTACCCCAAAGCCAGAGGGAGCTTTACCAACACTTTTTTGTACAAACAAAGGCCATCTAGAAACAACATCCAGGACCTTTAGAAAAAGAAAAGGAAGAAGCGCCACTTTGCAGACACCTAGTGAGCACTGACAAGGAAAGGGTGCTGACAGACTCCGCATTCTATGGTCTCTGAACCTGAGCTCGGGACCTGAACCTGCATTTTGGTAAGAACGGCGAATTCACATCAGTACTCGTATAAAGAAAGAACTTGTTGGCATTACTATGAAGGAACAGCATATTCAGTTTTCCGACCTGGAGATGGACAGTGCAAGTAGGGCACGCGACTTCTCTCATTCGCTTGCCAGATGATCCTTCAGAAGATTTTGATCCCGAGGATGTCTTGCGATTCCTTTCCATCTCCTCCTGTCATTATGTTTCATATGCATTAGGTGACCGATGCAGAAAAGAAAAGAGTACAGGAAGAGATGGGGTTGTTACTCAAATTACCTGAAGTTTCTTGGCGAGGTCCTCATGGCTAATTAATCCTGCAGGTTTACTGGCTGCTTCTTTAGTATTCGTCAACCGCTGTGTCACTTCCGCCTGCAAAAACAGAGTTGCCGCAACGTGAAGATACAGCAACAAAATGATAGATGCATTCACAAAATACCCCTTCTCAACAATAATTGTACGCAGACACAGTGAATAACCAATAGTTTGGTCAACAACGGAAATGATCCGAAATAAAAATGCTGTTAAATAGCTTTTGCTACATTTTGCAGTATCTTCAGAGAACCAAATCTAATGTTAATGCGAGCCTGTAGATCAGATTTTCTGTTATATTTCCTTCTCCTACCACAAGCATATATAATATAATAAAAGGGACGAAGGTAAACTTATCAGGAACTATTGTGCTCAGAAATCACATCTTTCCTTCTCTTCAGAATATTTGCTTGTCGTTACATGAGCATTAAAACTACCACCTACTATGCCTGGATCCTAGACATTAGGCCCAAACGCCTGTGCACATAACTAAGACTGGTATCCTACACTATTACCTAAAACATGCAGAACACAGATACTGAAAAGCCACGTATCATTGGGGGGTAAGAACGGTGTGAATTCTGGGTTGACAGACTTACCAGGCACCGGTCGCAAACTCTAACTGGCTGGGCATTCTCCTCAGCAGTAAGAGCAATTCTTCCATGGGTACATTTATCACAGAATATGTCGCCACAGTTTCTGCAGTGGTGCTGTTTAGATGTTCCAAACATAACCAGAGTTAGAACCACCACAACACGGCATGCACAAGATGGAAAATACAAGTTCAAAAAACCAAGAAGAAAAAGAAAATTACCCTTCGAATGAATGCATTAAAATCAGTCCCACATCCTGTACACTTCATTACTGCTTCATCAGGGACCTATGGAAACAAAAACAAAAACAAAAAAACAGGTTTAACAGTCAACTAAAAAAAGCAATGTACTTCTGAAGATGGACAAGAACCTGAAAGCATGCAGCCTAACAGATATACACATTATGTTTTCTTCATTTTAGGATAGGGGTTGAAAGGATATACAAATTCTTACCCAATGATCTTTCTCCTCATTAGCGGGCTTTATGAAGTTCATCCAATCACCAAAACCTTTCTTCCTCTCTGCCGTCTGCTCAGATATCTTTGAATGATCAGAAGGCTTGGGTCTTCCCCCCATTTCCTTCAGCTGCAAACATATGTCACCAAATAACAACCCATCAACCAAAGAAAGCGATAACAAGGAGAAGAAACTTGTCTATCAATCAAGTGAGAGCTATGTAGTCAAGAAAGTTGAGCAATGAGCACTGTTATGAACCAACCTGTATGGTTGCAGCAGTCACTGTATCAAGGAGTGTACTGGTCGTGTAGCTATTTGATTGCAACCTGATGCGCCTTGGTTCAACATCCACAGAGCTCTTGGACCAGAAGGCAAAAGTTGACGAGTCCATTTTCTTTGGATTAAAGAACAAAACAACAGTAATAAGTCCACACGCCAGAGTTAAAGTTATATTACAAGAATGAAAAAGCAGTAAAAAAAGCTTCCTTACATCACATCTTGTGATGTTCTCAAGGGGATAAATTCTGAGTGTCCGACTGGTATTGGGATCTAGCATCTTAATTCCATCCAAACCAATCTGCATGAAAAATAAAGAAATCATGAGCAAAAATGTCATTTCAGAAACAGAGGGAAAACTCACTAAGTTACCTCAAATTAAAGACAGAAACAATCTAAGTAAATATGAAGAAGATGAATAGACAAGTTAACGTGCTATAACTATTTACTATCACGTGTAGAAGCTTGTATGGCAAAGAATTTCAAATCATGATAGAAACATGCACGAGAAGTCGTACAACACAATAGCAAACTTTTGAACCCAATTGGAAGCAAAAATTAATCAGGAACAACTGACTCCTGCAAAACAGTAGTGGTTCTCCAGAATCCATCATGCTATACTATCCTTCAAACTTGTTACTAAACATACCATTCCTAAAGCACTTATATTTATCAATCGAATCACAAACAAATTGCTCTACAACCAATGACCCAACACCTAAATAATTAATTCGCAATTTCCTCACAACTGCAAATGAGCCCCAATCGTTTCATTTGGCAAGTCAGTAAAACTAGCTACTTAGGACCTTCAGAAGACAGCAACTATTAAGCAACTCACATAAAACAGAATCAAATAGAATCACCCTCCGTGTTCTGACCTAGAAGAGTCGGAATTCCCATAATTCTATGTTGTAGCTACTTAACCAAAAGGGCAAACAAAATTTTAATGGAGCAGAAACAATGTGCCATGAACCAAACACCTGCTAATGATGAAAAACTATCCCCACACCATTGAACTAAGCCATTCAATAAGTAATCTCTATTGTACTACAACACGATAAGATATCCGAAAGACATCAAGAATGTGGTACCTGGCAAAGCACATCCATGGTGCTCTGGCCTCCACTTTCAGCAAGAAGCTTAACCCTGAACTTCTGCACACCACTCTTCACATCTTCCTGAGTGTCCATCTTAGGCACTGCCCTCACAATCTTAGGAGAATTCAAACCAGAACCCGAACCCAAAGAAGAGTCCTTTGAGCTAGGGACGTTAATGGCTCTTCCATAATCATCGAACATACCCCATGTTGAAGACTTCGGTGCCGTCCCTCGTGCCCCGTACGGCTCCACCTTCCCACCTTGATAAGCAATAACACCATCACCATATCCACCATCCCGACCCATTTCAGACCTCCCTTCTGACCGCATTCCATAAGGATCCATCCCCAAATCAGACCGACCCCGATTATAGATCCCATACTTATCGTCAAAATACCCAACGCCATGATCGAACTTCGGCGAATTCTCATACTGGTTATCATACACAGGCGGAACAGACGATCCTACCGGATTAAGGGACGAATAAGACACATAGGGCGCTCCGGCGATCGGATTCGAGGCAGGCGGTGGCGGGGGCGGGGCAGCAGCATAGCTGGCACCAGGCGTCTGATGGTGATCGAACGGCGGGAAATACGATTGCTGCGCGGGTGGCTGCTGCTGGTAAGCAGCCCCGAGCGAATCGTAAGGCTGGAAAGCCGGCTGCTGGGCCGGCGGTGGATTGAACGAGGATTGGGAATTCAAAGGAGCTGAAGCCGGTTGGGAGTACGAGGCAGCTGCGGGATCGGAAGAGTAAGGAGGTGGAGGAGGGTAAGATTGAGGAGGATAGGCGGCGGAGTAATCGTTGGGAGGGTAGCTGGGGGAGAACGGCGGCGCCGACGCCGTCTGGTGGTGATCGATCGAATTGGGCGGGTTTTGATTGGGATTGGGGTTAGGGTTTTGGAAGGTGGGGAACTGGTAGTAGGAAGCGTAATCTCCCTGGTGCATCGCTGGTTCTTCGAGTTGCAGAGATCGGAAGATCGGCAATTGGAGAATTCTCTGGCTTTCTGCTATTAGCTTTCTCTCTCTCTCTCTGTAACTCTTTCTGGCTTCCACGAGACGATGACGAGGGAATTTGAGGAGAAATGAAGGGAAACAGGGAAGGGAATGGATTAGTGGGTGTTCGGGAAGAATCGGTTGCGTGCAGGTGAGAACACGGTAAGGCTCGACGATCCTGCTCACGGGAAGCGCCACGTCATCTTACCTTTTTTAACTACGGGATGGGTCTCATGGTCCAGTGACGACCGTGGGCCGCGGTCACCTTGGACAACGAGTGTGGCCCAATACCGATAGCCTAAGCTGGTTTTCCATTGAACCTATGGAAAACTAGGTGGGCCAAGTTCAGCCATTTATCTGGTCTTAATTAGTGTGACAAACGCAATGGATCACTCACTATATTGGTGATGGATACTCCGGAATAAAAGTACCCCAAAAAAAAATTTAGTGTAGTTGTTGGTTGATCACGTAGAATTTTTTTATGTAAGGATGATATATTACATCGAGATTTTAAAGTCATGTATTTTCTTTTCTGAGAGAATGATTGAAAAGGATAACATTCGAGAAGTTAATGATATATTTCGGAGACATTGAGTCTAAGACTTTGGAAATGCAACAATATGATAGAGAGATATCCTAGTTATATGTCCTTCAAATACAATTTGTTTCAATAAATCAACCACAATCGGCTTCGAAAAACTTTCACAACTCCTATTTGACGGTACATGGACTTCCTATACTATCTCTTAAAGAAAACACATCAATTAATTGTTGAAGTAAATGAATTAATTTTGTTCCTTTTTTTCATCATCTTAAATTGGTTAAGAATATCCAGCATTTCACACATGTTTCTATACTATAAAGTGAGTAAATATGAGATTTATTTACCTTAGTTAGAAGAAAACCAAAGATTCTTCATTTATTAAAACAATACATCTGTCATCCATATCGCCCCTCGTTCTCAATTTACCCCTAATATTTTGCATTAGTTATTTAAAACCAAAATACTTACTCCCAAAACAACCAAAGATTCACCCAACTCATCAAAAACCAAAAACTAACAACAACTAAAACAGAACATTCTATAAAGGAAGAAAAACCATTGAATTCCTTCCCATATCAAACATCCAATTCCCGAATATATATACAACCTCAACCCTCAGCATTATTCACCGCAGAAGAAAAAACACACAAAGCTCCAAAAGAATGGCGAAAAGCGCAGTAATTTTGTCCCTCTTCGCATTCTCCGTAGCCTCCTCTCTATGGGCCCACACTTGCGTCGCTAGCGTCAGCATAAGGCTGGCGGGCCCAGAAATCTCGGCCATATGCGACAAGAGCGTCGACCGCCAGTTCTGCCTCAACTTCCTGCAATCGACGCCCGGAATCTCCACCGCCGATCTCAAGGGCGCCGGCTTGATCGTCCTCGACTCGGCTCGAGCCGAGGCGTCGAGCACCGAGAGCTACGTCAAGGCGCTTCTGGGGAAGGCCACGGATCCCAAGCAGAAGGAGGTCTACAAGACGTGCCTGAGCAACTACGACGACGCCGTCGACGACATCGAGGCGGCGAAGGCGTCGATGAGCGGCGGCGACTACAACGGCGCCAACATTCAGGCGTCGGGGGCTCAGGAGAACGCCGACACGTGCGACGAAGGGGTGAAGGGGTCGGATCTGTCGAAGAAGAATCAGCACTTGTTTAAGGTTCTCGACATCGTTTTGATTATTGCCAACAAGTTGCGCGGTTGATGATTGAATTTGTTGTGAATTGAGGATTTGTCTCTTTTTTTTTTTCTCATGTGGTTATAGAATAAATGATGGTAATTATTATATTACAGAGGATTAATGGGAGCGGTTTCTAGTCTTGTTGTTGCATGGATTTACAGTCATTGGTATGTTGCACCGGTTTTCGTAGCAAATTCTGAAAGAGTTTGATTGGTTAAATCTGCACGTTGATATGACTTGAATCGAATTTGATGTAATTCGAATGAAAGTCATGGTATATGGTTTTATATACGTTGAGTTTCTGTTCTGTAATTGATACCTAATTCTTTATTATATTGGATAGGGTTAGTGAAGGAACTAAGGATTTAGGCGCGTACAGTTAGGATAGACTCACAATATCACTCGAGAAAGAGGTGTCTCGGTATCAGAATTAGAGAGTTGAGGATTAAGAAAGAGAGAGATAGAGAGAGGGGAGAGAGGTTTGGCTGCCTCTGTAGAGAAGAGAGCCGTCGAGTGGAAGGGAAAAACGAGAGAGAGAATTACGTTTAGGAAATAATTATTCTTATTACTTGCTTCCTGAAATAACAACCAAAGTCCCTCAAATAGGTATAAACTGCCAACCCTACCCAAGTACTGAAGACCCTAGGATTTATGTTTTCTACAGTTATATCATAAGGAGAAGTACTATATATAATTCTCAATTGTTTTGTAATTCTGCAATTTTTTAAGTATAGTGAAGCCGACTCTCTCCTGTTCGTAGACTAACTAGCACACATTGAAGTGAACCATGTAAATTTGTGTGTTATTTTTTCTTAAATCGTTATATTTTTTACATTGTCGATTATGTCGATTCGTTGATTTGATTGACGTTACATTCCATGATGCTGGTAAATTGGTAGTAATTAATCTGCCTCGATCAAGTGATACGTGATCGTGATGGTAGTTAGAGTGTAGATTAATTGGACCATGATAGTTCGGGACTTATTAACTACTCACCACGGTTCGATGTGATACACGTCTACAATGGGTGGTTAATGGTTATAGGGTGGGATTGGTTAGACAGTTACACTGGTTACTCAAATTGGCTACAAACATAATAAAAAAACTGAACCCAGTTGTGTAATTGCGGCCAAGCCCAGGTTAAACCATTCGCAATAGAAGGGCTCAAGCCTGACAAAAGAGGGATTAAGCGCACGTAGAGTTGTTTGCCAGAGCTCCCCATTATACAACTCACATCCCCAAATTAGGACTTGTAACAGTTTCGGTAAGGATTAATCTAGGCTTAGAATAGGATGTATAATCATGGTTATGCACCCATCAATAACTAAATTTGAACCATTTATTTAGAAAATTCAGATCTAACGATGAAGAATTAAAGTTCATTTTTATTTTCTCTAACTTTCTTAATCGGCTCATATCTATTTCGTTTTAACTCGGATTTTAATTTTTTTTCACAGATGGAACGAGTTCATCGTGCTCTACAAAATGAGATCTATTTTTAATATTTTTTAGAAAAAAAAAATTCTTGCCCCTCGGTCCGAACTGCATACCATATGGTATCTTCTTCGTTTTTAATTCGCTTTTGAAAACGTTTGCACAGAAGGGACGAGTTCATCATGATCTATTGGATCTACAAATTTCTGGGTGAACAAATTACAGGATCAAAAAATACCACACAATATCATACAATACCACCCTGGTACAGGGTGGTATCTTGTGGTGCACAATGTTAAAAGTCGTAAATGACAGTTAATATACTTCTACTATCATGTATTCAACCATCCTACTGTCTTGGTTTGTTCATACCACCATGATACGCTTTTCAAACCATAGGTATGCTCTTATTTCAATACCAGTCAATACCATATGGTATAGACTGGTAAAAAATTGCTCAATTTTTTTTGTTCGAAAAATATATCAAAGTGGATATCATTTTGAAGAGCACAATTAATCTGATCTAACTGTGCAAAAAAAATTCGACTTAAAACGAGTGAGAAATCGTCCGTCAAAGATTAAGGAGGGGAAAATTAAAGGCTTTCCAGGAGAGAGAGGGATGTTGATGTCATGCTGATGTGGACGGGTTACTCATGGTTACTCATCATAAGGTTACTGACCTGATTCGTTCCCTTAATCTAGGGGTGGCAACATAATCCGGGGAACGGATCAGGTCAGTAATTAGTAACCATGAGTAACATGTCCACATCAGCATGACATCAGTATCATCTCTCTTCTGGAAAGTCTTTTATCTATTCCCCTTTAATCTTTAACTGACGATTTCTCTCTCGTTTTAAGTCGAAATTTAATTTTTTTGCATAGATAAATCAGATTAAATGTGCTCTTTAAAATGATATCCACTTTGATATATTTTTAGTACAAAAAAATGAATGATTTTTTATCAGTCATTACCATATGGTATGCTCCTATTTAATATCATATGGTAAGAAAGTGTACCATGATGGTATGAACATATCAATATGGTAAGAAGATTGAATACATGATAGTAGGAGTATACTAACTGTCATTTATGACTTTCATCATTGTTTACTACAAGTTACCACCCACATATCATAGTGGTAAAGTATGGTAATTTTGTATCCGGTAATTTTTTCACCCAGAAATTTATAGATCCAATAGATCATGATGAACTTGTTCCTTTTGAGTAAACGTTTTCAAAAACGACTTAAAAACGAAGAAGTTACCATATGGTATGTAGTTGGTAAAAAAAAAGTTACTCGAAATATATTGAAAATTGATCTCATTTTGTAGAGCACAACGAACTCGTTCCATCTGTGCAAAAATAATTTGAAATCCGAGTTAAAACGACGAAGATAAGATCCGGTTAAGAAAACTAGGGCAAATAAAATGTCTTTAATTGACAACCCTTAGATCTGAATTTTTTGGACTCACTTAGATCTAAAGGTCCAGATTTAGTTACTCATAGGTCAGTAACCATTGGTTACTGACCCTATCCTAACCCACGAGTACCTTATCCGATCCAATCCGGTCAACACGAATAAAACCCGTATTGATGGATTATGGGCTGGGTTCGTGTTTAAACTCGTTTACTATTTTGCGGGTTTGGTTGGGTTCGGGTTTAGCTATATCCAACCCGTACCCGTCCCCAACCACAAATCCTTACTCACTTCTCATTGGGCATTCCTCATACTAATCTTCCTTATGTTTGTGGAGACATGCCTAATTTGTTTTTCCTAATTGTGTAGAATGAAGTTGATATTATGAAGTGGAGAGTAAAGAAGTTTAGTTGACAAGGAGGAAGAAGCTTTTAATTAATCATATTGTTTATGGGTGTTTATCTTTAATGTTGAATAATTTGTATGGATACTTTGTGGTTTACTTATATGCTTTAGATTGATGTTTTTTGTTTATCTAATTTGTACGGGAAGAATGATATTAGACTTTTATTTTGGTAGGAACTTGTTATTATGCATTTGT